TTACTTTGCCAACAAATGTCCTTCTAGTCAAGGCTATGGATGTTCCAGTAGTCATGTTTGGATGTGAGAGTTGGACTACAAAGAGTGCTAAGCATCAAAGAATTATTGCTTTTAAACTGTGGTGTTGGTGAAAACTCTTGAGAGTCCTTTGGACTGCAAGGAGATCCAGCCAGTCCATCCTAAAGGATATCAGTTGAATAGTCATTGGAAGGACTGATGTTGAAGCTGAAACTCCAATACTTTGGCCACCTGATGTAAAGAACTGACTCATTTGAAAAGACCCTGATGCTGGGAAAGATTGAAGGTGGGAGGAGAAGAGAACGACAGAGGATGAGATGGTTGGATGGCATCACCGATTCAATGGACATGAGTTTGAGTAAACCCTAGGAGTTGGCGATGGTTAGGGAGGCCTGGAGCCATCACTTTGCTCCTAAAGATCCGTATATTCAAAGCTATTTTTTTTTTTGTAGTAGTAGTCATATATGAATTTAATTTTGGACCATAAATAAAGCTGAGTGCCAAAGAACTGATGCTTTTGGGTTCATGCTGGAGAAGACTCTTAAGAGTTCTTAGACTGAAAGGAGGTCAAACTAGTCAATTCCAAAGGAAATCAATGCTGAAAATCCATTGCAAGCACTGATGATGATGCTTCAATTTTTTGGCCACCTGATGTGAACTGCCAACTCATTGGAAAATACCCTGATGTTGGGAAAGATTAAGAGCAGGAGGAGAAGGGGTCAACAGAGGATGAGATGGTTGGATGGCATCACTGACTCAATGGACATGAGTTTGAGCAAATTCAACAAGATAGTGAATGACAAGGAAGTCTCTCATGCTACAGCCCAGGCAGTTGCAAAGAGTGGGACATGACTTCATGACTGAACAGTGAACAACAATAAGGATATTTGCAGCTATATTTATCAAAGTTATTGTCTGGTAATTAATTCCTTCTCTATGGTATCTTTTTTTTTTTCTGGTTTTGATAACAGGATAATAATGGCCTTGTAGAATGAATTTGGGAGTGTTCACACTTGTTCAATTTTTCAAATGGTTTGAGAATTGTAGGTATTATTCTTCTTTGTATGTTTGGTAGAATTATCCCATTAAGCCATCTTTCTTTGGACTTGTGTTTACTGGAAGCTTTATTTATTATTATTATTATTTTTTTACTACTAGTTATTGGTCTGTTCAAATTGTTTGTTTCTTCTTGATTCAGCTTTAGTAGGTTGTGCATTTCTAGACATTTGTCCATTTCTTTTATGTTGTCCATTTGTTGGCACATAACAGTTTGTAGTATTCTCTTATTATTATTGTTTTTATTTCTGTGGTATTTATTATTTCTCCTTTTTCATTTCTTATTTCTTATTTTGTTTATTGGTGTCTTCTTTCTTTTCTTTGTGTTTCTGGCTAAAAGTTTATCAGTTTGTTATCTTTTCATAGGTAACTAATGAGGACCTATTTTATAGCAGAGAGGGGATAAAGAAGGCACAGTCTGCTTTAGACACATTAAATTAATTGCAAGAATGCATTCCAACATTTATTAAGTGCAGACAAATTCTGTTTGATTCCCTGTATTTGAGGTACCCTAGAATAGTCAAATGCATAGGGTCAGAAAGTATATTGGTTGATGTCAGGGGCTGGGGATGTGAAGAGGGAAAGGGAAATGGTGAGCTAATGCTTAATTGGGGCAGAATTTCAGTTTAGGAAGGTGAAAAATTCAGGAGATAGATAATGGTGAGATGCATGCACAACAATGAGAATGCATTATACTTAGTGCCACTGTTAAGTATGATTAAAATAGTTTGTTTCATATTATGTTACTTTTAACTCAGTTTTAAAAAGATTGGAAAAACAACCACAACTCTTCATTTATTATTTTTTTGGTCTAAATTTCATTTCCTCTATGATCTTTAGTTTTTCCTTCTTCCAGCTGACTTTGGGCTCTGTACTTGTGTGTGTGTGTTTATTAGGTGGTAGGTTAGATTGTTTATTTGAGATTTTAAGTATTTCTTGAAGAAGTATGTATCACTGTAAACCTCAGAACTGCTTTTTTGACTATGAATAGCTTTACTTATTTTTAAAATTTTTACACTGTTTTGTTGGTTTCTGCCATACAACTGTACATTCCATAGATTTTGGAATGGAGAGCTATGCTTTCATTTTTATTTGTCTCAAGGTATTCTCGCTTTCATTTCTTCATTTACCCATTTTGTTAGTAACATACTATTTAATCCCATTTTTTTTTTCTTTTCCCAGCTTTATTTCTGTAAGTGATTATTGGTTTCATCCTAATATGGTCAGAAAAAACCTTGATATAATTTATATCCTTTTAAATTTGTTGAGACACATTTTTGTGATCTAGCAGGTAATTTACCCTGGATAACTTCCATGCATACATGAAAATAATATGTTCTGTTTCTGGGTGAAATGTTGTGTGATAAGTCCAAGTAGTGTAATGTCTCATTTATGATCACTGTTTTCTTATTTAATTTCTGTCTAGATAATCTATCCTTTGATACAAATGTGCTGTCAAAATCCCCTATTATTATTGCACTATTGACAGTTTCTTCTTTTATGTCTGTTAATACTTCCTTTATTTATTTGGGAGCTTAAATATAATGTGCATAAATGTTGACAAATGTAATATGTCCTTCATGCTTTGATCTCTTTATCATTATATAGTACCTCTTTTTGTCTTTAGTTAAGAATTTTTTTAAAAGCCTACTTAATCTAAGAATTGCTATTTCATTTTTTCTTGTAATTTCTATTTTCTTAAAATATCTTTATCCAGTCCTCATTTGTATTCAGTTTGTATGTTTCCTTAGCTCAGAAGTGAGTCTCTTGTAAGCAGCAAATGGATTTCTTTTTTTTAAAATTAATCTACTATTTTATATCTTTTTTTTTTTTTGGAACATTTAGTCCATTGGCATTTAAAATAATGATTGATAGATTTATACTTTTTGCCATTTTGTTACTTTTTTTTCTGCTTGGTTTTGTATTTCCATCCTGTTATGTTCTTCTTTTTGCTTATTTCTTCATGATTTGGTGATTTTATTTACCAGTATGCTTGTGTGTCTTTCTTTCTAGTTTTTGTGCTTTTTTATAGGATTCTTATTTTCATTACCATGGAGTTTATATA